AAACTTAAATTGCCGCGATTAAACTCGACACTGCGCGCGCGCGCGCGCACGGGAGATTAATGAATTTTCGGAAGCGTAAAATCTCTCGATACTCTACGCGGCAATGTTTCTACTCTATGCGGATCGATCTGCAAATTTCGCGGCGCGCTGTTCGACTGGTTTTAATAAACGAGCGCGCGAAGGGAATGCAGATCGCGCACGAGATATATAGGATAGCTACATCTCGGTGGACCGCGGGAACGAATCGGCTTTTTCTCGCCCTCGTCGTCCCTTTTTCTCTCCCTTTTCTCTTCCCTCAACGTCGTCTCTCTTTCTCTCCCTCAGTCCCTCTCTTTTTCACTCACGCGCGCATCTCCTTGAGCAAGACATATCGACGCGGATTTTTTTTCCGCGTCAGTCATTTATCAAAGCCTTTCGTTCTCGGCCCTACCCCACCCACCTGATACACGCGGATCTGGCCGAAGGATTTAGGCAAAGAGACTAGACGGAGATAGAAAAGGAAAAGGGTGGCGGTGAGCGGAAAGGAGAGACGTGCCCTTCCTCGGCAGTATCGGATCGAGACTTAAAAGCCATTCTACAATAGCAAGTGAGTTGTAAATAGTTGTAAAAATTGACCACTTACAGCAGATGAAGAGAATATTCGGTTGTGATTGGTCAATTTTTATTAATACAACCACTTACAACTATACTACGCAATTAGAATGGACTTTCAATTAGTACTGCTCGAATTGTATCAATATATGTTTAAAAACAAAATTTCAACAATTACCAAATTTAATAGACTTTAAATGCATAAGACATCATGGTACTTGAAAAAATATGTCGTACCGTTAATTTGTCACAATTTTAGCGACTTCTTGTTAATTTTAGAAGAATTCTGTATTCTACAGTTATTTTTAAACAGAGTTTGTCTGTTATTTTTTCAATTTTGATTTTTTTAATGTAAAAATGCGGAACTCTTTTTTACTTTTATAAGAAACTATGTAAAACTATGAAAAGTGCTATCAGAACAGTTTTTTTTTTTATTTTAATAGAATGTGTGCTATCTACACAGATTCCATTTTTGAATATCCAGAAGTTAGACATTTTATTAATATGAAAAAAATAATGACAGTTCCAGTTTTCATATTAAAAAATCGAAATTGAAAATATAGCGAGCTAACTTCGCGAATCTAGCATGACACTTCCTCCATAGTACAAGAAAAAGAAAAATATTTTCATTTATAACTACAGTTACTCCTCGATTCTCTCCATCGTTATTAGCAATACAATTCAACAAGAAAGAATAGCCGCGAAATAGAAGCGACTTGCGTCATCGACAATCGCGCTTTTTACTCATTTTTTTTCTAGCGCTCACGTCCATGGCGTGCCAGATCTTCGGCTATGACGAATAATGGCAAAAATACAGACGGACGTATTGGAAGGTACGACGTAGCTGCGAACATGGTAATTAAGACCAAAGCATTAATCCTGAAAAAATTCGACGGCCCCAACAGCAGTTCCCAACATTGGCTCGGGCAATTTTTGCCCGGCCACGTCCTCGCACGCAACCTTTTCCCGAAGAGAGCTTCACTTCCTCTCTGTCCTCCGCCTCCCCCGTTACCTTTCGCAAGAGCTCGATCGAGTATCGGATGCTTGTGGTTTTAGCGCTAGCACGAGCGGAGGAGACCAACGACGCTACAGTAAATCCTCTGCCAACTCGATGACCTACAATACGCGCGCGATTACACCTGCCAGATCGTTCTTCCATTTCCGGGGAATATACTCGCCGTCATGAAATCTTGCGAGCTAATATCAAATTTGATTGGGTTTACTCAATGCGCACTGGTGCATATTAAAGCCGTCGTACCTAAATTGCTGTAAAGACGTGTGTTTAATATAAATACAATAGAAATTAAACCGTTGACATCGGATTAAACCACGAAATCCAATACATTTTATTGTGTTAAGTAAAATATGTGTTTTATAATTTGAAATATTGCATTTCACTTTTACCCTTAGATTAAATCATGTATAATGGCATTAATATGCACCAGTGCGCACTAATGCATTCAATCGAATTCACTATCAGATTTCGAAGGCATTAGAAACGTCGCACTCGCGAAATTTATACTCACAGAGATATACACGTTCAATTAAGTTGCAACAATAAACGAGTTGATTCGATCCTTCATGCATTTTATCGTGTTATTCTGCTATTTTTCTAGAGGTTCTCTTTGATTATGTTATTATGCAGCGATCGAGCAACTCGAGGACGAGCCGAAGACAGCAAGTAGTAAAAGAAAGCGACGACGTAATTTCACTCTATTATAAAAAGGCAAGCGCCATCAACTTGGTTGTCGTTAAAAAATTTACAGCAAGGAAGTAGTGCGTAGGTGGCAGATAATCTGATCGAGCGATGAAAATGACACGTGACGGTGACAACGGATTGTTGGTTCCGGCTGGATCCAAAAACGTATCTTTCTATCTGCCACTCTGTTTTCTTGCAGGTCTTCTACTTCCGAGCTTCTATAAACTCCGGATGGTGATGCGTGAACGCGAGCACGAACGCTACGCGACCTTTGTTATCTTCTTTGAAAGAGACGCGAGTGAATATTGCATTACCTTGCGCAGAGCGCAAGGAAAATGGAGATAGACAACGAAGGAAAACGAGAGAGAAGGAGAGGGAGAACCATGGCGTCAGAGAAGAGCAGGTCAACCCGCCGAGTTTCATAAATATTTTCTGTACAGGCGTCGCCAAACTAATTTATGGTAGCTGAAGTATACGGAACGTAACGTTACGCAATGTAACGAGACTTGAAATGCGTTACGTCTTATTGTGTCAATTGTTAGGGAAATTTTGTAAAGTATGCAAGATATAATATATACAGTCGATATAATATATACAGAAAATAGATATAATATATATACAGAAATCGATTTTCATTTTTATCAATAATTTCTATCGATAATTTTAACTTTAATTTCTTTTATCTTATTATTTATCTTTTTTAAATCCTGATTGACAATTAGAAAAAAGAATAAAAGTAAATCCTCAAAGAACACACAAAAAATTGAAATGACTTTAATTCTTAAAATTAATAAACAGTTCAATTTTGTAACAAAAAAAAATCACTTTTGATTTTTGTTGTATAATGTAAAAAAAAAAAATTATTTTGACTTTCTCTTACCTTGGTGTGTTCTTTGGATTATATATGCCAAAATTAAAGCTAATCTGTACATTGACAGAAATAATTGATTGACAGAAAAATAATTGACAGAACATGTATCAGAAGTATCTTAATCGAAATTGTATCGTCGATTCTGTAAGTGAGATAGAGCAGGTAATCTGATATGCGGCCAAATAAAACTCTTTTGATAGTCGAGTGTATTTAAAATACAATTTAAGGGCCATTCGGATAAGAAAAAAAGTAAAGAATCCTTCGCAATGAAATACGAGTGTTTGATTAGGAACATATCGTACACATTATTCATGAGCGTGCATGGAGTGTGCTCGCGCATATGCAAATACATGGCGTTGTCCAAAAGGCAAATACATGTTACCGTAAGATAAGACTGTTCAAGGTTCAAGGGCTCCAGGATTGTTGGGGATATCAGGAAGGACTCTCGCGGTCCCGATCGAACCACGGATTATTAGCGATAAGCTCTTTCGCCGAGCATAAAATTCATCCTTTCACACTCTTCTCGACGCCTCTTTTCCGCATGCACTTTATATTAGATTTAAACTTACGCCGCACTTCTGACTTCGTTAAAGGTTGACTAATTAAGCGTAAACGGCGTAATAAAAAGTACAAATTAAGCGAAAGCAGAAACAAGAAAAGATCATTTGCGCACAGAAGAGAAGATTTTAAGTATGTTCTTCGCACTAGCATGTATAATAACTTTGGTAATAGCGTGCAAAAGTTTAATGAAAATGATACTGTTCGCAAGATGTTGGAAGATTCTTTTAAAGAATCGGAGATAAAGAGCTCAGCAGCTGCAAATCTAAAAATAACTAATAGATTTCTTCTGTTCTAAAAGTCTTATACCCTAAAATATAACATAGTCCTAAGTTCTGCTTAAATTCGTGCCATATGTTTCTTGTTCTATACTCTATATTGATTATTAGATAATTGTAAAAATAAATATAGGACGTGAATCAAGCTAGGCCTTATTGCTGTATTAATTAAAAAAACAAAAGTTTATTACAACAAATGTTTCGACCCCAATGGGTCAATGTTATACTAGATACAATTTAAAATTAATTATTCATTGTGTACGTCCTACAAAAATTATGTATGATTGTGAGACTTCTTATTAATATGTAAAACATGTAAAAATAAATGCTCCATTATTTGTAAAAACACGACATTGTAAAAACATTACGCCGCTTGGTGATCATCAACGGTTACCAACGGTGGCCACCAAGTGGCGTAATGTTTTTACAATGTCAAGTTCCTTTCCGAATAATGGAGTATTTATTTTTACACGTTTTATATATCTCGAAATGTTTGTAATAAACTTTTGTTTTTTTAATTAACACAGCATTAAGACCTAGCTTGGCTTGTAGCCCTATATTTATTTTTAATTTTATAAATTATTTGAGCCTTTTTTCTTATATTATTTAATAAAATTTTCTTCTTCTATTTTTAATAAGTTATTTTTTTCAGTGCATCCTCATTCCCTGTTTAGCATCCATTTATTAATATTATCTAATATCAAGTGTGACCTATGCAACGCAGTAGACCACGACTAAATGACCGGATACACACAGTCTGTGTATACAATCTGTGTGTATCCGGCCATTTAGATAATTCAATTTCCTTTAAGTGAAATAATAATAATAGCGTGGCCCGAAAAAGAATTTGGATGTTGGGGTAGGCACAGTAGACGACAAAGAATAGGATAGGTTGGTAGGGAGACGAGAATGGGAGAAAATGGGAGAACGGTGGAAGAGCAAGTCATTTGTACGAGTCGCCGAATATAAATACCAAAGACGAAGTTAAAAAGTCACCAGTAGAGGAGCGGACCCAGTATTGTGAGCTATCGCAAATATCAGCCTTGAATTACTTCTAACGGGGCAAGAGGACTCGGTCGTAAGATCAAATATTAGCATTAGTGTAGTTGCATGTGCTTATGCGTACATAACATTATTACACATAACATAATTACATTTCTTTTTTTTTATGCTTACAAATCGATATAAGCAATGATTTCTAGCATCGATTTGTAAATAATATGTCAAACTTGGTGAAAATTTTTCTTAGAATTTAAAAAATTTTTTCAAATTTCTGAATAATTTTGTAACTTCTAGAAAATTTTTATTTAATTAGAACACTTTTTAAAAGTGTCAAAAAAGTTTATACATCTTTTTTAGAATTCTTTATGTATATAAAATTTAAAGTATTTTAACATTTCAAAGATTTCTCATTCTATAATTTTTGATGAAAACTTATAATAAAATCTAAAAGACTTTAATGCATTATATATAATAATCACATATTCTGTTTCTTCATGTTTTTCAAATTGAAAGGGACAAATATTTTTGACAATGTTCTTTATAAATAGTGTGATCTCTCTCTCTCTCTCTCTCTCTCTCTCT